GAAACAGGGGACAGTCCATGAATATCCCCGCTGGCCCTTGAGGTCTTAGGGGTGTCTCTGGCTAGCATGGCCCCCACATGCTAGCCCAGAGAGGGGGAGTGCTTGGGACTGGAGGTGGATCTTTCTTTTGGCTGTCAATTCCATGAGGTCAGGCCTAGGGTCCTGCTCATATGGGTGTCCTCAGGTCCAGCACAGCCTTGGCACCCAGGGGACATTCAATGACTGACTCCTGTGAGGCTGGGCGGCTTGGTAGAGAATGGCCACGCCCTCCTCTGGGGAGTTTACAGCAAAGGGTAGGAAGGGCAGGGAGTGAACAGAGACTGTTCTGCATGGCTAGAGGAGCAGCGGTGGCCTCAGGACAGAATGTGTGTGGGGCCAGGAGGAGAAGGGCAGTCTGAAGATACTGGAAACAGGAAAGGGGTTTTAGAGAGGAAGTGGAGGCCAGTGGCAAAAAGCCAGGCCTGGTGGAAGGGCCTTCAGCTTGGTCTCAGGGGCTCTGTCCTTGGGCTGTTCCAGCAGCCTCTGAGCTATCCCGAGTTCTGATTCCTTCCTCACTGGGGACAGAGTAGTCCAGTGTTGGGATGTCCAGAGGCCCCATCACTTTGGGAGCCAGCTCTCCCAAAGCAGCTCGCAACTGGCCTTCTGGTGAACCTGGAGGGCAGGCTCCAGCCAAGTGGCAGCCAGGCCTTTCTCACCACCAAGGCTCCTGAGCCCACTACCTCTGCACCAGGAGGTCTCCAAGGGAAAAGGAGAAAGCAACTGCATCTGTTGTGAACATGCCTTGCTGGGACAGTGTCCCAGAGCTGTGGGTGCTTCTCAAGGGCAGGCTGCAGGGGCAGAGCCCATGTAACCTGGACTAGGTACCAGCCCTCTCTGGGCCCCATGGGAAAGTTAGACTGGCTCATTGGACACACAGTCAGCTTGGGTGCAAACTGCCCAGCCTGGCATGCAGGCCTCCCCCACGTGCCTGCATGTACCCAGGGCAGGCCCACACTCCCCAGAATCTGGATGTTAGGCCCTTGCTCCTTTCTGAGTTTGCAGGAACCCCCTGCCTGCCTCCCTAAGGACCTGCACTCACCCTGAGAGATGCACCTCACTGTCTTCTCCCTGGACGCGCATGCCCCTTTTCATCTTCAAGCAGATGAATCCCTCCCTAAGGCTCGACTGGCAGCTCCAAGAGCCCTTCATGAATTCTAAAAAATTCCTCTAGATCCAGAATCAGGGGCTATTAGATCTCCTTTTGCATCTCTACTAACTTGTGAGGTAAACTTAAATGACTTGTTACATCTCTTTCTAAAACAGCAAGGCAGGTGGAGAAGGTGAATTTAGTTTGATCATTTGGAGATCAAATTCTAGCCATATATTAAATAAATATGGGGAACCAGAGATCTTGTCTCTCCTCGTTCACATCTTGAGTTCTTAGCTCATACAGAGTGTTGCCCACGGGCAGGCATCTTAAAGTCTCTTGCATCTGCCTTTCAGTTGTGTCCTGATGTTTGCAATGGCATTGTGGTCTTCCTGAGTGCTGCTGACGCTGCTTAGCAAGAGAGCTCGCTACGTGCCAGCCACTGCTCACTTCATACCCACAGCACGCACGCTGTGAGGCAGGCACTGCTCTCACTCACGTTTTACAGACGGGGTAAGAGAGGCACAGAGAGCTTACGTGTCCTTTCCAAGGAGGTGTGATATGCCCCATGACTCACCTCAAGCTGTACCTTTGGGCCTGTGCCACACTGCACCCCTCAACCTGGGCCTCCCTGTGACATCAGCTCCTGCTTGAGATGCTCACTTAGGCCTCAGCACCTGCCAGGCTATAGAGTCCTGTTCTACCAGACTGAAGAGAAAGGCAGGGCCCCTAGCTGGGGATGTGCGTAGCTCTCTCTGGCAGGGCAGGAAAGACTTGCAGAAGTATGGAGATGCCCTGGAGGTGGGAGACCTAATTTAAGTTCCTAAAGCAATAACATTCAAAGTAACAACAACAACAACAACAACAACAACAACAAGTCTCTGGAGCAGCAAGACCCATCTCTGTTCTGCCTTGCAACAAAAGGCTGGGTTTTTATTCCCCAGGGGAGTAACATTTAAAGAAGGGATTTGTTAGTGAGCCCATAGTATGTTTCTTTTTTGGGGGTTAAAAATGGAAATTATTTCCTCTGATTTCATGAGCCTGCAAACTCTCCTCTGAAGCACCAAAGTGCTCCTAAAAACACATGCAGGATGAGGAATCTCAGAACTATAGCCCTAACAGTCTTCTTTCTTCCATAATTTCATGGTTTGTTTGGAAAACTGCCCAACTATGACACTGTATCATCTGGGATAATACAATCCTGGTGTAGTGAGTGATGGCTGGAAGCAAGCTTGTCTTCTCAAACAGTGCAGGAGATACGGTGTGAATTCAAAACCGAGACAGAAAAACAATCTTAAAAGTGCCAAACTCGTACACAGATAGGAATACCATGTCGTGAGGTAACTTTTAAAACACTAAGTCTATAAGAATTTAAAGTTACAGAGAATTCCACCCACTATCTCAGTCTTCTCTGGTGGTATTTGGTGCTGAGAACAAATGTGACTTTAATTTGGCCATGAGCAGAAAGAGATACGACATCCTACTTCCCTCTGTCCCCCTGATTTTTGGCAAGAGACACCCTGCTTGGGATGTCAGGGGAGCTGGTACCAAAAGCTGCAAATACGAGCTGAAGCAATGCTTTTGAGTTCAGTTTTGCTTTTCTCACATGCTAATAATCCCTAAATGATGTTATATTTCACTCTGCATTCACGAGGAATTCCATTGCCATAGCAACCGCAATGTGATACCAGAAGTTTTCTTGAAACTGGGGATTGGAATATTGCCTCTCCTCCCTTGCAGAGCAAGAGGACTGTGGTCCTCACACAGTGCTCAGGGGAGCCTGCCTCCCAACCCCACCAAGGGCACAGGCGCAGAGGGGGTGCTCTGAACTGTGGCCCCTTGAATTTAACACCGTGTCCCCCCCTTCTCTCCACACTCTGGCCCCACAAAGGAGTGCCCTAATAGTGACTTCTGGGGCAAAGATGAAACCCCAAGAATGAAGTCAGAACTTCTCTTTGTAAAGTCTGGTAGGAAAAGAGAATGGAACATGGATGAATTTGGAATTACTCTGTATGAAAAAAGAAGGTATTTTTCAGTTTCCTCTATCAATAACTTCCTGGAACTAGGGACAAAAAAGACAAATTGTCATCAGTGGAGCTGTGGATGGCATTAAATACTCTACTGTTATCTTGGGGTAGGGTTGTAGGATATTGCCCTTCACCCCCACCTTTCTTCTAAGACCTCCCTCTCCAGTCCTCCGTTACTGCTTGCTCCTGCTCTGGTGAAGGTGGGGAAGTGCTCACCCAAAGCCCCCTCCCTAGGGCTCACCTTCCCTCCATTGCTGCCAAGCCCCTGTGGTAAGTGGACAGGGCTTCACTGTTTGCTGGGCACTTCCTGTGGCATTGCTGGAACAGAGCTGGGCTGGCTTTCCTGTGGCTGGAGCTGATCTGAGCAGGAGGCAGTGAAGGCTCCTCCTTGCCATTCAGACCCACGGAGCTAGGTCTGCAGAAAGGGGAGCCCTGGTTCCAGGTGGGCGTCTCAAGAACAGTGTTAGGCCTGACCCTCAGGACCTTCCTCCCTGACTCCACCAACCAGCAAGCCAGGTGGGCCCCACACCCGTTGGCTGGGGCCCTTGGTCCTGCCTCTGCATTCCCTGGGGGCATGACCTGTGCCTCTCTGTGCTCTAGGTCCAAGGCCACATTGGATTAAAAGATGATGACAGGCGTCATGAATACACAATACTTGTGATGTGCCCGGCACGTGCTGAGGAGTTTCTGTGTAGCCTCTCATTTACTTTCCTCCACAGAGCAGGTGGTACTGCCAAGAGCCCCATTTCACAGCAAAGGAAGTGGTCCAGAGAAGTGGAGTGATGTGCCCCAAGTCACACAGCCTGGACGTCACAGTGCCAGGCTGCAGCCCAAGTTCCCACCAGGAGCCTATAGGGACTGCCAGCACAGGGTGGGCATTTGCAAAATCTGTACAAAGCCTCAATGGATCAGAAGGATTTGGTGGATATGTTCAATCGGCATGAAGCAGAACGGAACCCCAACCTGCTCACACCGGCGGGCCCCCGGCCTCCCCAGCTCCCTCCACATCATCCCTCACTGAGGCGGTTTTCATGGTGGTTGTTTTTCCCTTGCATGAAATGAGAAATGCTGTTTGAATAACCGATGGTGAGGGAGGCTGGGCACACTCTGAGGCAGAAAGAAAAACCTTTAGAAAAATATAATTTGGGGGATATTGGAAACCAGAGAATGGAACATCAGTCTATAAAATTCAACACGGCCAATAAAGCTGGAGCAACTGGTCAAGTGTTTTAGCGCTCATGAGGGTGGGGGGATCAGCAGGCAGGGGGCTGGGCAGGGCTTTTAGACCAGGGGCTTTTTTCCTGGCCTCATTTCCACAATGCGCCTCTTGATTTCTGAAGCACCTCGTTGTGAACATCATAGAATGGCCACAAACGTGTCCAAGACTATTCCCATCACCGGAAAAATTCAACCTACTAGAGTCTTGCCTGCTCCTGGATTCATCCCTCTTGTACCCTCACTGCCACAGCCCATACATGAGGGTGGAGCCCTCCACTCTGGAAGCCCAGGTCCAAGTGTCTCTGATGCTCCTTTCCATCACTGCTGCAGGTACTTGGTGGGTTCTGTCCCAACCCTTCATTTCCCCTCCTTGTCCTACCCCAAAGATCTGCCTTGATTTTGCCCTCCAAGGGGCCCCCCTCTAAAGTCAGGGGGGTCTCTGAAGGTGGATACACACAAATCATTGAAATGCTGCTGTTACCATTTGGCTAAGGCTCCAAGCCTTCCTCTTCCTCTACTGCCTTCACACATTCAACCTGTAGACTCAGCTCCCAGGCCATTTCTCAAAAGGGCATTAGAAGGTCCATCCCCAAACCCAAAAGCATTGAGGCAAGGAGGCATTCTCCTACCTTTAAGGAAACAGTCCTTGCTGTGGACAATGAGGATCTTCTTTTCCAGCAGGCAAGCTGCACGGTGGAGCTCGCAGTGGTTCTCATAAAATCTCCCATCAGAGCCACACACGGGCATGTAGCTGGGCCTGCATGCCTCCAGGCACCGGCATTCGGGCTCCCCGGTCTCTCTGCTGAGCATGCACCTGCTTCCACGGCTGCAGAACTTCTTCCCACAGGAGGCTGGCAGCCCATCATGGCCAGAAAGTCCTGCCAAACACACAAACACAGAGGGTGAGCTATAAGCATTCAGTGGTAGGGGTCGAAGGCTTCCTTTGTGGTTCCATTTGCTGACACAGCCAAGGCCTTGGGGGCTTAGGGTACCCAAAAGACTCTCTGTCCTAATGACAGGAGGTGGCCAGGGGTGCCAAAAGCAGCACCCTACTGTACAGGGTTCAGGTTTTATGCCTGGCTCACACCAAATATCTCAGGCACAACCCCTGTCCATCCTGGGAGGGAAGCATAAACAGGGGACCACATGGAGGTAGTAAAGTGCCAAAGGACCCTGCTGAATGAGAGGAGGATGGCTTGCCAAAGGCAGAGGCTTGAGCCATGGCTCCCATAACCGCACTGGAGGGACAGACCTGATGGGAGGAGGAGTTTTGTACAGGGGTGGGGTGGGGAGGGTAAGGATACCAAGTGTGATTCCAGGAGACAGAGAACACCAAGCTGAGGAAGTTTGTTCAGATACGTTTGGCCATAGGGAGCCATTGCAGAGTCTAGGGAGTCAGTGTGGGGTATGAAGGGAGAAAGTGGTACTCTAAGTGCTCAGGATGGGGGCAACCACAGCAGGGAGGCTTGAGCTTGACCTTTTTCTCTGGGGAAAATGTGGTTCTCCAGGATACACACCACCCACGGTGGGACCAGTAGCCTTTCTCTATCTACTGCCCAGCCCTATCTAGCACAAAGCAGGAAGCTACAGCCATGGTAGGAAGGCTGAGACCCTGGGAATGGCTGCTGCCACATTGCTGGGTACCCCTGCACCCAACACGTGCACAATTGTGTGAAGCAGTGGTGCCCAGAGCTCACACACCCTAGCAGGCCGGGTAGGCGAGAGAACGTCTTATTGCTAGAAGGGCCCACATACACAAAAGGCCAAACAAGCACCCCAAAACAACATTCCACTCTACCAGAGGAGTCCAGAAAATGAGATGATAACCACGCAGCATTAATGGCAGCAAACACAAGTTGAGAATAAGAAAGGGTTATCAAAATACAAATTAATTAAAACATGAATTCAGGTTTTATGGCCACAAGAGTCTTTGCTTTCGAGTTTTAATTTTATCTTCTTCAAAATACTCAGCGAGATGGAATGACCTGGGTGGTCAACACTGAACCTTCAGCCCCAGGTCTGATCTCAATGGGATTAAAATGTCTGAAGGGGAAAAAACAACCTTCTTTTTCTTGTTTTTGGTTAAGCCCGCTTTTCATCATTCTAGATTTGAAAGGAAAAAAATCAGTTATCGATAGATTAACTGCTTGATTCAATAATTCATTTAAATTCTTCCAGCCTTGGCAAGCTAAGAAATATTGACTTTTTCTTGAATCATAATAAACTAGAAGGTCAAAATATGTCTGAGCAGTGTAAAAGTGCAGATCCTAAGCAGGCATGTGAATCTCCTTTATCCACTTGGCTGATGCTCACATGTCACAGTGGAGGTTTGGCGGCATTCATCAGCTCCAGCGCACATCTTCCTGTCAAGGTTGACAGGCGGAGGGGAGACGAGGGCTCTTGGCAGTGGGAGGCCGTGGGCTGGAGCCCCTCCACCCACGGTGTTGATAGCTGCTGTGCCACAGAGTGTGTTTGATTAGCATGACTCCCCTGGGTAGCTGCAAAATGGGTTACCCTGGAAAGTGCTGGCGGCTACTGGAAGAAACTAATACAGCTCTAAAAATACCAGCCTTTGTTTCTTTCCCAAGACGGCCAGAACACAAAGCACTGCCGTTGTATCACTGTTTTAATAAACTTCTTGTATGATGGCAAGGGCACCCACTCATCGCTGCAGTTTGAAGAAGCAGAGCCAAAGTTTCTGAGTCTCTGGCCTCTCAGTTCCTGCTTCAGGGTATATGCCCTGGCTACGCTGCCCAGACTGTGCTCATTTTCCAGCTAACTCAGCTCCAAGTGCTCACTGGCAGCTCAAGTCCGAGCACCCCTCCTCTGAATTCCCTTCCTGAGAATGTCTGCCCCACTGTTTGGATGACAGAGGCCCTAGAGGTATGGGCCTCACATAGCCCTGGACACTCAGGCTTCAGGAAACACAGTCGTTTTAAAAGCTGACCTCTTCAACTCTGATTTGGTGCCCCTGCTCAAATGTCAGTTAAGAGGCTGAGACAGGGAAGGTAGTGGGAGCCCCGTGTCCCCATAGGGGGACCTTTTGAGGGGTACATCTCCTCTTGCTTCCTCTGGGCGTGGGGGCAGGAGGGAAGCTGGAAGGATAGAGACACAAAAGGGAGACAAAGATCCATGGAGGTGGGCCTGTGAGGTAAAGGAGACTGGAATCTGGAGTGGGAGAGTGGACTCCAGTGGACCAGCCTGGGCAGTTCAAGCAAAGCCAGCTCGCAGCTTTGCGGGCAGAGTGGAGGTTGGGGGCATAACCCTCTCCATCTAACCCCTTCTCCCCTCAAATAACAGCAGGTCCCCATTTCAGTGAGTGCCTCTGAAGACCACCACTGGACAACCGTGCCTCCAGTACCCGTGTCTGAGTAACTCACAGATGTTATGGAGGCCCCCTCATATACAGGCTGTGCTCTGAGCAGTCAGTGCTAAGAAAACACTCGGGCCAATCCGTGCTCACAGAAGTTGTCAAGAACACTCAGGTTCTCTCTGACATAGAAACGGGCTGTTGTCAAATATTTGATTCTTAATTACTTGTAATTAAGACAAAAGTAGCCGAACAGCCGTGCACCTGCTTTTCTCAGCCTGTGGCCAGCAGGGCAGGGATGAGCTGAGAGCACTCTGCACAGGAGTGAGCCAGAACCCCATCCCCAGGCACAGAGACACGGATCAAGCAGTGGGTTCCTTGCTAAACAGGGCCCTTGTCACCACTTCCTCCTTGTTATTAAAACAGAATGAATTCCCCAGTCCTAGCAGGACGATGATAAAACAGTAATGGGAAAGGTAACCAAGTGAGACCGTCAGCAACTGCCTACAGTATTTATGAAGATGACCATGATGCATGAAAAAGATATAATATGCTTAATTTATAGTCATAAAGAAAGTCATTTACCCAGGTTAGAAACCGATCATCTTACCAAATAAGTGCCTTTTCGACACTAATTAAATTTACTGAACACAGTCAGAAATGGGAATTGTTACATGAAAGTTACAGCACCAGAGAAAAAGTCCATTTGTACCAGTTGGTGCAAGAGATCCCCTCGGTGACTCAGATTGGGATTCTTGATTTGAACTCACAGACCTGGGCTGCCATCACCTTCTAGTTAAGGTGAAGTGGTGCAGCTTAGCGACAGTGGGAGCTGAGCCCGTGGCATCGCACTGAGGGATCAGACGGAGGAGGTGGTCCTTCTTCATTCATTCCTCTGTTGCAGGGGGCCTGTTTTCTCATCACTGACCATAACATGCAGCACTGAAAATTCAGTGATTTTGTTTCCAAACTGACTCAAGTCTCCATAACTGGTTCCCTGGTACAAAGTACATCAGTGAGCACTTCCCTCTTGGGGATGGTGCCGAGTGACACGTGAGGGGAAACACGCTAGTTTTCTACTTTGGGATGCTAACTGCTGCAGGCAGGTTTGCCCAATACAGTGCTTCTGAGAACCTGTCCCTGGCTTGACGACCAAGGAGAGTCCGCTTCTCATTATGTTATCTCTAGAGGGCCCTAGTTCTCGTCCAGCAAAGGCTAGGGCTGAAATCCTTACTACCTTATCCCACACCTCGCCATAAAGCCACAGAGGTGAAGCTTGGCTCTAAGGCAACCGCCCACTCTGCAGGGCCCCAAGCAGGCCAAGAAGAGTGGGACATGGCCAGAGAAGGCGTGGACAGCACCAAAACCCAGCCTCCCTGAACTGACAGCCTCACTGTTGCCTGCTGTGAGCCCCAGCCTGGCACAGCAGTGGTCTCTGGTGTTGGCACACAGAAGGTCCCTTATAGGAACTAAGTGCCCACCCATCAGCAGATACAGCCCTTTACAGATGGATTCAATGTTTTCTTTCTTTTTTTTTTTTGACACTGCAGTTCTAAATATTTTTTTTTATTTTTTTTTTTTTTATTTATGATAGTCACAGAGAGAGAGAGGCAGAGACACAGGCAGACGGAGGAGCAGGCTCCATGCACCGGGAGCCCGATGTGGGATTCGATCCCGGGTCTCCAGGATCTGCCCTGGGCCAAAGGCAGGCGCCAAACCGCTGCGCCACCCAGGGATCCCTCAATGTTTTATTTTCTAAGCAAAAATACCCACCCACTGGGGAACTACAGCACATAGCCCGGGTTATGGTCAGGTTTTTAAGGACCTGACTTGCCTTTGGGAGCCTGCGGTACATACAGAGGTGTGCAGATATGTGGGGTGTGCCATCCAGGAGCTGTAGTTCATGGTCCCTGGACTCCCCACCCCCACCCTCTCTGTAAAACGTGTCCTCCTGGACATAGGCAAGGTGGTCGGGAGACAGTGTTGCATGAACTTTGACTCCCTCATTACAGAGACTGTGAAAACACCTCATATGGAGCTGCAGAACTTGAGTCTGTGCAAGAGCCAGCAGAGACCCAACTCCCCAGCCAGTGCAGTTCCTGGGCCCCACACAGGTGGTAACGGGGGGGGGGCACTTCAGGAGCCCGTGCACCAGCTCTCCATCCATCTGTACAGCCAATTAACAGTCCTGGAGCACCTCCCAGGTGCCTATTCAAGGGGCTGGGGACACAAGGCAGACTAGGATACTGTCCTCAGGGCAGAACACTGCAGTGCAGGGAGACAAACAAGACAGTGAACCGGCAAACAAAAAACAAATATGGGTTGTAGTAAATGCTAGCAAGGAGACACAGGTTGCCACAAGGGGCCAATGCTATTGGACTCAGAGAAGCCTTGTTGAGGAGGTGAGATTTGTCCTGAGACCTGAAAGACATGGGGCAGAGCCATGGGGCAGGGGAGGGGCAGCAGCCTGGGGGCTTGAGCTCAGTTTGCAGAGCATGGGGCTGACACGGGAAGAAGTCTGGCTCACAAAGCCCTGCTCTGAGACAAAGCTTGCCAGGCAGACCTAGT